TTGTTTTGAGTGCGTAATAACTGAATCGTGATTGCCAGAAGTCCCACACACCCTTAGCACTCACATAAAAGCAGGGTTTTCCAGCTATACCTACTAATTCTCAGATCTGACAGGAGACCCCAGGAATACATTTGTTTAGATTTGGTTTCCTTCATCTTTTCATTTATTTATTTAATTTAATTAATTTATTTATTTATTTGCAGGGAAACCTTCAAAAAAGGATACTTGGTATGTAAAATTACAACAGGGAAATAAGGAGAAAAATTAGATCCCAATATAGAGAAACATTTCATAAAGGCATCAATAGGGTTATTTGTAATTGTGGATAAAAGTTCTGTTTTTGTCAGAGGGTCAAAGGATGTGTTTCCATGGGTACTGCTTTGGACTCCTCTTAGTAACCGCTAATAAATCTCCAATGTTCAATATTCACAGAGCTTCTCGTATCACTAAAGCACCGGTCACTCCTTTTCATCTCAGGTTAATATTTGCTGGAGAAATAAAATCTGAATCACTTCTGCTTTGTCAACTGAAAAAAAAAACAAACGAGATGAAATAATGCTCAAATAATCTAACTTAATAATTACAGCACAGTATTACTGCCTGGGTGCCATTAGGCTTTCACACAAATGAAAATGGGGTATTGTTATGAAGGTGTGAGTCATCACTTCTGAAAGGCTCAGAGCAATGTTAGAAATAAGGTTAGAGAGATGCTGAGAGATGATTGGAAACACACCAATAAAACCCACTATTTGGCCAGAGAGAACAGCTAACAGAAGGTTATTATTGAAGTGCAGATTCTGACCATATCCTTCAGAGGGCTTGGGCAGCAAATGCATCATCTTTGCAGCCACTCATTCTTAGTCTTCACACGCAGCCTCGTCTGAGTCAAGCACAGCACAGCTCAGCTCATAAGCCTGTGTGGATGTTAGATCTGTACGGTCGTCACTTCCACTGTCTATATCAGGCTAGATATGTTCATATTTAGGATGTTCATGCATATAAAAAGGAGGAGGAACAAGTTACTGCGGTTGGAAACTCTCAGCGCTTATTTTCAGATTAGTAATGTAGGATCTCATGCAAATGTAGGTTGAAATAAATTCCCTTTTAACTCTGGTGCTGAATGTATGAAACGAGCACAGCGTGAGTAATAATTCAGCACTTTTTAGGGGGAGATTTGCAAAGCGATCAAGACGGTGCTCAGTGACAATCCTCTCACCTGTGAAGGAGAAAAAGGACAGGAGGGAATGTTCAGTGGTTTAAAGCAGAGTCATGTTTGTATTTAATTTATAAAATGGTTCTGGAGTTGTTCAGAATATGCTGATGTTATTTTTGTAATTATTTTATTTGTTTGAAACAGGGACGATGTACAATAAACACTAAGCTCAAGAGGAAAGATGGACTGTACCAGGTTGTATCTCTGGTGATAATTTTCACCTGGAGTCCCCAACCCAGCTGGGTGTTTTTATTTATTTATTTTTTAAATAAGAAATGCATAAAAGCAGCCAGACACTATTCAGTAAATATAATTCACAATTAAAAAGCCATCAGATATAAAGTCCAACAACACTGATACAAAACTCCTATGATCCATACTGAGCAGGACATCACTTTTACCAACACTTCCAATATGTGGTTTAATGCCCATGGATGGACAAATACACTTAACTTAAGCCCTCCAGACATACTTTGCAATATATTATCAATAGGAAGATAATCACCTCCATGACATCTTGAAGTATCCATATAAAAGCAGTCCTGACTGTGGCATTAAATGTATTGCACATGGACATGTTTTATACTTGGTCAACATTTCTGTATTGAAAACTGAGTTTTGGTTTTTTCATTAGTTGGAGGCTACAACCATTAAAACTAATAAAAGTTCTGTTGGTAATATACTATATCTTTCTCTTTGTGTAAGTAATATGCATTTGACTTAAAATTTTATTTACCGAAATAAATGAACTTTTTGAAAAAGTTCAAGCCCATAACGATGTACCAGGACATAAACTGCAAGGCTAAGATCAATAATTAATCATAGCTTTTTCTTTTTTTTTTCTGCCTCTGGAACAAACAAGTTTGAGATTTCTTCTCTACAGCAAGGTGCCACGTGCGTAAAGTTCAAATTACAGAAAACTGCAGCCATTTTCACTTCATTGAAGCCCAAACAGCCGTGCTGCACGTGCAGCGGCCCCCTCTTTGTCTGAGCAATCACTGACAGCACATTCATAGGAAAGCACTTGAACAGATGCTCCAGCCTCTGCCTACACGTGAAGGGGATTCACATTCCTGTTGTCTTCTCTTTATCCTTGAAACACAAACACACACACACATACACACACACACAGCCTTACCCTAAACCCAGCCATCACCAGTACATGCCTAACTCTAAACCTAGTTTAAACTTAACTTAACTCAACCTTAGTCCTAACCTCTAACCTCATCACAGCTCTTCAACATATGGGCCCCAGACTTTGAATCCCATAAGGACCAGTGGGTCCCATAAGGACTTAAGCCCTCCAACTAATGAAAATTCAGTTTTCTTTGCCACTCCAAGAAATGATGCATCATGGTACATAGTTTCACCTAGAGAGCTGAAGACATGCCTTAATACAAATAGGATTGATTGTCATTTATACCTACTTATTTTGTGTTTTTAGTCTTTTACAGACAGTTATCTCTTTAAAGTCAAACAAAAAATATACATATAATTTTATCTTGAAAAGGAGGGAAAGGTTGCTAAAGATAATTTTATGAACCACACATCTGATATTTTTTTTCCATCTCATGTTAGTAATTTCCTCTAACATTCAGGTTTTGTCCAAAAGCAGAATAAAAAAACTCCACTTCTGTTGAATTTCACATCCACTTTTCAGTCGTGCAAAGAGCACATATAAGCTTAAAGAGTCTCCACAGTGACTCATGTAACCTTTCAATCAAGGCAAGGACATTTATTTATGTTTTTTCAGCTAGGGTACAAGCAGAGTGAAACTGAACAGAAAATAAACCCTGTTTCTCTATCTGGTTTGGTTGTCATCAAGACTTTTCAGGAGCTTCCATGAATTCAACCATAAGGTGGAAACGTCAGCAAGACGGCACCTTCTGTGTTTAACGCCGTGTTTGTTGACAGACCAACAATCAGCCAGTAATTCACAGGAGCTCAGTGAGATCAGGCTGCAGAGATAAAATCTGGGCTGCAATGCTGTCACGCAACTGCAGATGTGCTCAGAAGTTTAAATACGACTGCAGTATTTCTTTTTGTTTTTGGTTGTTTTTAATTTTTTTTTAACAGACTAGTGCTAATGCAAAACATTTCTTCAATTAGTTATTGGTTGCATTCATCTATTTGTCAAAGAATGACTGCCCCGAACCATTATAACAACAGAAACAAACCAAATGACCCTGATCATAGCTCTGTTTTTAATGTTTTAATCTAAAGATTCAGTTCCTGTAAAATGTTGTCTTCATGTACTGCATGTTTGAGACCTCCCCAAAGTGTTTCAGTGATATTTAGGTCAGGAGACAGAGATAGTCACTCCAAAACCCTCACTTTTTCCTGCTATCACAAGTATTAACATTTTAAAAATTAATTTTCACCTAACAAATAACAAAAACCTTCCTTTATCCATTTGTAAAACAGTTTCACTATGAACCTCTTTCTGCATCAGAATATTCTTGGATTTTACATACATGATAGAAGAGATTTGAACCAGTTTCAGCATTATTTCAAATACACAAAAAAACAGTCAACATATTCCACACTTTCATTTTTTTTTTAAGAAATGTTAAAGAAAGATGCAGGCAAAATAAAAATACAAATAAAAAACGACGAGCAAATGGGCTTAAAAGTTGCTGTGCTTTTTCAAGACCACTAGAGGGAAATGCGTGCTCACAAAGTTGCATGCTGGAGCTGGTGGAGGCTTTTCTGTTTCCTCACGAGTTAAAATGTCCGGTTTCTTCTTTTGCAAAACTTTGCGCATATTGCAGGGAATATCTACTAGCAGCTCTGTTGCAGTGAACCAGAACACAGTGAAATTAATTATTGTCCCGCAGTGAAATAATTTGGGAAGAAAATAGGAGGAGAAAGGTAAAGAGTAATACCCAACCTAAATAGACTGATACAGTAGTCTTGTGGAAAAAAAGTATGTATCCAAATTTCTCCTCAAACCATAATTTAGGACAAGGCTGCCTCAACGGACCAGGAAGAATACCAGCGTGAGATGACTCTCACGTAGGGTCTTCAGGAAGCTTTACTTAGAAAAACAGAAAATATAGTGTTTACTCAGGTTTTCATATGTAAATCACTGAAACTAATTGCTGCACCATTCTCAGATAAAACTAAAGTTTTAATTGAGAAGCAGCACAATTGTAGAGACTAAGATTTCTTGTCTTCATCTGGGGTATATAAGCACGGCAGTGACGTGGAACGATAAGTTTCAGTTTTGCTTTCGCGAGATCGTGCACGTTTAGTTAACAGGTTTTCGTTTCTCCTTGCTTTAGTTTGGGACATTTCAGATCCGAAATCACTGAAGCCTGTCGTGGTATGCTATATGACATTATCAGCTTTTTATTCATCTGTGTTAAATAGACTGAATGGTAGGTTGGAGCATATTTTGATGTCTTATTTATGGTGGAGGGAAACTGATAAGGAACAAATATTGTGCGAGGGACCGGATGAGAAGACCCAAGAAAGTTGGGGAAGTAAAGCAAAAAAATCAAAAATATTTTACTGTTTTTCTGCAGCTATTCACATTGTAGTAAAGTAACGGGGTCTGTAGAAGAGGGTTTAGTATTTATCTTGGTGAACTGGAACACAGAGGCAGCAACTGTATTAGATTTGGATTACAATAATTAACCTGCATATTTGTCTAAATGTGCGTTTTTGTCAAGAAAAGTAGATATTTTGTTTTGTCTTTTCTTTACACAAGCCCTCTTTCTTTTGTCATTGCTCTCCTTTTTCTGCTTCTCCTTTTTCTAATTCTCTGTGTGCATCTTTATGTTGATGAAGAGATCTGCCTTCTATGTCCAGCTTCTCTACTATTGGCCAATTCAGCTTTGGAACCAACGTCACTGCGTCAGACGTTGTGGGGCGTTTATGTTTCTTGCAGTTGCTCGGTGTTTGTAAGGACAAGGAAAAACTAAATATATATGCTTTTATTTCTTATGTTAGTTTTGGTCCGCCATATTTGACCTTTTAAAGTATTTCATAAAATTTGCTCTTTCCTACCTTTTCCTCTCTGCATTTATACAAGACTTGAATCCAAAGGCAAACATTTTACTTTCTTAATATATAAGATCATGTAAAACAGATAGAAAAATTAAATATTGCTTTAGCAGAGCATTAACACCAACAAACACGATAAACTGTTTCAGTCATGATGTGGGCAAAAAACTTTGTTTTTTCAATGCAGGCCTGAAGAGCGATTTGAAATGTCAAGGTTCAAAGGTCTAATTAATCACAGTTTAATTAGACCTTGTGTTTTGTGTTTTGACAGAAACTTGTGATCCTGTGATGTTGGACGGGAAGGCTTGGAACCGAGCTTGGTTCCACCTTTTGGTGTTCGCATTATGTGGACTCATGGCTCACTGCCGGTCTCAAAGCAAAGGTGAGATTGAAATAACACACTGTGTTTAACCTGAACAGAATGAAGCAGGATTATAATACACAGTAAGAGACAAACAATAAAACAAATCCTTTTACAACACAAATAAGTTAGGTTGTATTAACACTGGGAAATCCATTGGTCCACTTGTTTGGTCTGGACCCAAAGCAGACTTTAATGAACAGGTCCTTTGTCAACAACCCCACACAGCATTGATTCTGGGGCAGGGCAGAGAACTTGTACGACAAACGTTCGCTTAAATGCTGCGGAGGTCAAGACTGTTCAACAGAAACCCACTTAATACTTTTTGATCTACAAAAGCATTTGCACCTTCATCGAAGGAATGCAAAATTGCTTTTTTTGTTGTGAAGTGACACAATGATTTAAAGATTGAACAAGAAGCTTTGAGCATTTCTGCTCTGAGACATGCACCACGGTCACTGAACAAACTATAATACCTCAAGGGAAAGGCATCAACATAAACAGCAAAGATAGTTGACACCAAACACTTTTATGTTACCATCATAGTAGCATCACAGTGGATTCACTTTGTGTATTGATGTATGTTACCCTGCAATTTTGGATGGCAATATTCTTCTTGTGTGGTCAATCCTCTCTATGCCACCAATCCGACAGCGCCCCTAGCGGCTGTGTGTGTGGAATTGCATGGACTAACAAAAACGCCACTAAAGAACTTATTACAAAGAGAAATTAAGGAAAGAAAATGAAAAATTATGTTGGGGTGCCTATTTTCTTAATTATTGTTTTTAATTTACTAATAACTTGCTTTTCACCCCTCTACATGTACACTAGTCTTCGAAAAAATATGTGAAGATGTTTTGTTCATATTCATTGGTAAAAAAGTATCTTGTAACACTGACAACTGGAGAATTTACTGAAATTTTTCTCAGGCTTTTCAAAGCAGCGGACTCTCTTTTTGGTTGGAAAAACTGGCTCTGGAAAGAGTGCATCAGGAAACACCATCTTGGGCCACTCAGCATTTAGAGAAGACGCCTCGGCTGAATCGGTGACAAAAACCTGTGAGAGACGAGAGAGACTGGAAGGTGACAGGAACATGGTGGTGATCGACTCCCCTGGATTATTTGACACAGATAAAACACAAGCACAACTCAAAGAAGACATTGAGAAGTGTGTTAAGCTGTCAGTTCCTGGGCCTCATGCTTTTCTGTTAGTGATAAACTTAAAGTCGAGATTCACAAAAGAGGAAAAAGACACTGTGAAGTGGATCCAGGATAACTTTGGCTCTGCTGCTGCTTCTTACACCATAGTCCTGTTCACTCATTCTGACTTGCTGAGAGGTAAATCTGTTGAGGTCTATGTGGCAGAAAGCAAAGAACTACAAACTCTAATAGACAGGTGTGGAGGAAGATACCACTCGTTAATCAATGGGCAGAGTTCAGACAGACAACAGGTCACAGAACTTCTGGATAAAATAGAAGAAATGGTTCAAAGAAATGGGGGAGACCATTACACCAATAGTATGTACAAAAAAGCCCAGAGGGAACTGGAGGAGGAGGAGTTAAGGGCGTGGTGGGAGGAAGAAGAGAGAAAAGAGAGGAAAAGGTGTAAACATGAATATGAAGGAGAGCGACAGAGGGATAGAGAGAAGAGGGAGAGAGATGAAAAGTTCCGTTTTTGGTGTAAATTATTAAGTCATACTGCCAAAGTATTGATGATGACAAACTATTTCTACCTTGTGAAAATAGGAGGTGGTATTGGTTTCCTCGTTGCTGACTGTGAACTCATAGGCTATGTATTTTCTTAAAGCAGCAGAAAATGTGTCTAAATGAACCAATATATACCGTTGATCACAACAGTGAGTGAACTGTTTAGCAGTAATCGAGCTGGTAGACGACGATATCTAATTTACAGAATACAGACACATAAAATCCACCCCTTGGATGTCTATTGTCAATACGAACAATTCAGGCTCTGTGTTTTGGGTTTCTCCTTCTTAGTTGTTTATTTTTTTAAATTCATATTATTTTGTGCATATGAAAACAGTTGTCATCAATGAAAGTTAATGAACAGTTAGTTATCCAGACACAACTCATGCACAGTTTATGCTCTTCTGCAGAGACTGAAACATGTTCACCAGTTTAGTGACAAGTTTGGCACATCTCTGACTGAGATGAAAAACTGTTTATTTATTATTTATTAATTTTTGTAAAAAATCTGACTACTGTCGTAATCTTTTGCTGTCGTCTCTGTGAGTAATTGATAAGATTATAACATTTCATGTGAGAAATTTTACACATGAAAGCTGGAAATAATATTACATCTGTATCAAGTGGATTCCTAAAAATGGGGGTGGTTTTCTGCTTAGCAACAACTTTCAAAAACAAAAACAATGCACTAAAAAAATGTTACTCTAACAGAATATAATTAAGAGCAAATAATGCTGGTCCACAGTTAGAAGTGACTGTATATAACTATTCCATATAGTTACTTTGGTTCAGAGTTTAAAGATTATATTTTGAGGTAAAATATGTTTGGGGTATTCAGGTGGTTTTATTTTATCTTTCTGTTCAAAGGAATTTACTTGCTCTCTTAACATGACCTAAAATGTGTCAGGATGGAAGGTGGTTGGTTTAAAATGTTTATAGTATACTATTTTCTTTCAATGCATTTGTTTCTTTCCATTTTATGGTTTTAATCTAAACTGGAGAGACAGTTTCTTTGTAATAAAAATCTGACATGATTGGTGTCAGTTTGGTTGCAATGTTTGTGGAATTCAGAATCTTTTTGTTTTAAGACGTTCTCATTTGAATTTGCTTCTTCCTACATTTCCTACACAATTAAACATTTTCTTTCTTCCAGATTTAATTTATTTAAATATATTATGTTCACTATCTGTTTTTATTTTATTACTAAACATTGAACATCTGTATGTATCTGTATAAAGAGGAGTAATTGACTCAAATATTGTGCAACAGTAAATCTGTTTTGGCTATCGATTATTGCATAGAGCAGTGATTAATAAACTATTTCATTATCTAAAATTCACCATGCTGGGGCACAAACTGGCAAAAATCACTCTCAGGTATTATAAATACCTGCGTGATTAACTCTAGATTTTAAAGTAATAATAGATGAAGGCATGAATCCAGCACTGGTGTTCTTTGAACACCAAGACGCAACACATGTATGAAATAAACACAGACAACATCTCTCTACTATATGAGTTTAGTAATAAAAATAATTTAACCTTACAATCAACAAACTCACTAGGTACACACAACTAAACTATTTGGTATTGTAAATAACAATTTTCACAATGCAAAGCAGAGGTTGAAAATAGACTATATCTATATATATATCTATATATATATATATATATATATATATATATATAAAATTCCCTTCCTCACCCTCCGCGGGTGGTCTCTCTCTTTCATCCTCTGAGCTCAGGTCCTCTACCAGAGGCCTGGGAGCTTGAGGGTTCCTCCAGTATCTTAGCTGTGC